TCTGTAAAAGCTGAGTAATCACTGATAAATCAGATCTATATTATTTTGACTAAATTGCCAACTGCAGAATACTTTAGAAAAGCAATAATGTAACATAGACCTCATGATGTCCTTTTCACCAGAACTATGGTTTCACCAGAGACCAGAATTAACAGTTTGATTGTAATTTAGCCAATTAAGTTATTTGGGAAAGAGGCGATGCAGAATCATCTCAATTAATGTAATACTTAAACATAAATCACTGTATTTAAGTTTGAAATTAGAGGGACCTAAATGGCTGATTCAGTTGGAGTCATTTTGACACACACACACACACGTTACCTTTGCAATGTTTATTGTTTGAGACATCTGACCTCCAATATTTTTCAAGAGAGGACAGAAATCATGAGAAGCTAATAGGCAGAACGTCTTCAGGAAAGGGCTTGATATGAAATTGAGAAAATAATCCTAAAAAGCTACACTACAAAGTACAACTAAGAAATTATTTCTGCTAAATGAATAATTTGCTTAAGGGTCAGGAACAATATGCAAATCACAAGTTTCTCTAGTAAGATCCTAGGGGAAGAACAAACTGAAATTGGGAAAAGGTTTCAAGGCAATGGAGAATGACTCAGTTAAGTTCCTGATCAACAGAATTAAGATATTGCCTTCCGCACAAAGATTTTGCAGAATCAGTTAATCAACTCAGATTTACTCATCTGAAGAGAAGTATGGGTTATTTCTTTTTTGGTAAGGCTTTGCTGCTACCATCAGATACAAAATCAACAGTTAAAAATTCTCTTCTAACCTATACTTAAGTGATATATTATACTTATATTTTGAGCTCACTAAAAATTACATAAATGGTCAATCCTTTTCTGGTGACATTCCCCTCTCAGGTTTTGACTGCTTGGCTAAGGTAAAGCCTAAGACCCCACACAAAGAAATTGCAAGGTTGCCATCTATCTGCAGTGGCCTACTCTCATGTAAGACAAAGACTTCTGAAATCATTAAGAAGGTTGTTAACATCTTGTAGCCAGCTGCTGTTCCACATTTATCCCAAGTTCTTCTACTAAAAATTGCCAAAGGCAGCTCAGCCACTCAAAATGCATGTCCAAGGGGCTGTTTTTTAACTGTCCAGCTGGTCCATAACTTTCACAAACCCCTTGGCTCTTGGAAACTGAACCACCCTTTTGTCTATTAATAAAACTTTAATGCAGCAAAGCTTATCTTCTTTCAACATTAAATTAATAATTATTACATTTTCAGCAAAACTTAGTCCAGTGAATAATAATAATTCCTATGCCTCTTTTCATTTGAGGAGCCTGAAATGAGAAAAGCATTTTGTCCCAGATTCCTAGCCTATGACGGTTATAAAGACAAACAATAATTAGAGACTGAAATAATAATAAAAATGGGTTGGATGCAAGAGAGAATCAGAATAGAGGCCTTTAGAAGTGACTCTGCATAACATGGATGCATCTTTTCTTGGAATCACATGTGCTGGAGAAACCCCAGGTGCAACTATTGGCATGGAACAGTGAAAAGAAGCACAAGATAAATAATGGCTAAAATAAGAACATTTCCTTAACCTTAAAGAGTTTTAACCAAATCAGAATATACTTGAGTAGTTAAGCATAGATGAGTGAATGAAAGGGGAGGAAAGAGATATACTACAATTATGTGAACCAAATTTATTTTTATCTCTAACTTTTTTCTCGGTAATATGAGAGTTCTTCTATATTTCGCTACAAACAAATTTGCAACCAATCTTGTTGGAACAGAGTTCAACATCAGCCAACCCAATACCCCATGTTGTGCATTAATTATATATAATTGCTTGTCAAATTTAACCAGTTGTAAACACTTAGTAATTACCCATTGATAACCTGGGAAATATGTAAGAATTTAGATGCACTATTCTGTAGAACGTGCAGATACCGAGTGTGGTAGCCAGTGAGCTGGATTAGGACCCAGAGGATGCGGGTTCGAATCCATGCTCAGCTATGAAAACTCTCTGGCCATAATGGAGATGGTAAAACTTTTCTTTAAATATTTTATTTACTTTGAAAGGTATGGATATTAGGATAGCCAGGTCAGTTCCAACTTGACAGCATATCACACAGAATTGTAGTAACAATGCAATCCTGTTAAACATATTCTCTAAGGAGATAAGTTCTACTGATTTCAACAGGGATTTCCCTTAAAATGCACAGTTTTCTAATTTAAAATGTAGAAATGGGAAACTTTACTTTTTAGACTAAAATTACTAGCAAATTCCAGCATGTATGGCCCATCTCTGCTAAAATGTGCTAAATGCATTATTATTTTAATGAGAACTCATAACTGACCATCGTTTGCTGCGATCAGAGGTCTATCTGCAATGTCAAGATCAAAAATGGAACTTCTTTGTTCAGAGGTAGTATACCTCTGAACAACATTCTCAGGAAATACCATCTTAAGCATGCTGGATTTCATTAGCTGCCTAGACCTATCCTTGCTACTTCTGGAGGCAGAAGATTGGATTAAATAGTTTAATCAACAAAACAGTTTTTATATTCTTACAAAACATAAGATGATATTGCAAGGGTGAAAATAATCTAGACATCTGGAGTGCATGTTTCATGTATTTATAGAAATAAAAACATTGGAAGTTATCTTGACTCATAAATTGGTAAATTTGGCCTGACCAATCCATTAATGTAGATATAAAACAGATGGAAAGATTCTGTGTATATTGCCTGGGAAAATGTATAATTTATTATTATTTCTTTTTAAAAAATGCTTATGAAGATATAGAGAATAACTATCATTTTAGACCTCAAAGCTTATCTTCATCTCTTATTTGACCACAGCCATTTAAAAGTGAAATTCCAAAATAGTAATGACTATAAAGAAAATGCTACATTGGCTTCAGCAGTGACTGCTACTTTGCTTCTCCTTCAAACATAAAAAACAAACAAATCTAGAAATCTACCTGCAAGCAACACTTTAACATACCACCACCATAATCCTTTATCCCAGTTTTATTACCACAATATTCAAACTGCAGACCCCAAGCCATTTATTTAGATTAGTTTCAGGAAAAGTGCTTTTTGGGGTGGGGGAAAAGTATAGCAAAAAGAACACAATTTTTGCCCAAGGGCTATAAATCTGCAAATATTCACCTCTTAAATACAGTGAGGAAACAATATTTTTACTATTTTTATAATTCATCATATTTATATATGGTTTAGCTTTGCCCATAATAAAATATATTTTACTGTTTTTCCCTTATCTATTTGATCATTGTTCTTCTCTCATTATCTTCCGCAATAAATATATTATCAGTAGCAGCTTTCACTGGTCTTTCCATCTCTACTGTTTGCATCCTAAATACTTTGGACTCACAGCAACAAATGGCTTCTTACCTTGGGAAGATTTAACAATCCAGGAATTTTGAGCTTCTATTGATTTCAAGGAGACCTTCCCCACTGAACCTTAAAGCATTCCTAAAACTCAGCCAAGTCCTCTCCAGTCAAGCTCATACTCTTTACATGACATCATAAGTTTGTTCTACATGTTCAAAGCATTGTTCATTGTATCTTGAGAATGAAACAGCTATCCTTGTAAGAGCAAAAAGTTAATGTTTCCTTTTGAAGATAATGTATTCAACCATCTCTGTTTACAGTTCTCCATCTTCTGGAATTCTTACAAGCTAGAATGAAGTCTCCTAATGAACTTTGGAAAAATGACTTGCTGGCGGAATACACAGGTGTTGAGGCAGCACAGAATTATTATCTGGGAACAATTAACTAGAAAAGTATGGAACTTATGTAACTGGAAAAATTGCACAAGCTTGCAGCTGCATAACCTGGCCCATTTTTAAGATTCTGATATTGTCAGTAGATCACACACCTATTTCCATTTATTTGGCAGTAAATTTTACTGATTCCAACAGAGCTTTCTTTTTGAGTTGGCACACATAAGACTGTGCTGTGAGTGCAGTGTAGTGGTACTGGCACATTGCTCTGTAGTCAATGGTATATAATGCAGCCTTTAGATATCCACACTATCATGAAAATCTCTTTTGGAGCTTTCTCCATGTTGTTGTGCCAAGCTTATTCAGAAAGGGCACTGGTCCAAGGAAAGCAAAACATTAACTAGCAAAAAAAGAAAAGAAATACAGAAAGAATATCCATGAGCAAGCCTTTCAGAACAATGTTAATTTTGGGCTTTGTTGTTTCTACCCACTGGGCTGATTCAATTTTATTTAAACATTTTAAAAAATAAATACCTAAACAGCTTGTCTGGTCCTTATATTCTAGAGTAAGAAATGCAGATTCTAGATTATGATCTCTAAGAATGCATTTTTTTTCATTGAACTAAATTCAGCCAAATAGCTCTCTTTTAGTATTGAAAATGGGATTTTTAAAGAAGCACGTAGTGTAATCCAATACATATCTATTTAGAAGCAAAACTTTGAATATTTAGGTTTAGGATTGCTACTTTCAGACTACCCCAACCAGCATGGCCACCAGCCCTACTGTCTGTGGATTCTTGAATTATCCTCAGAAAGGTAGCTTTTCCAAGCTCAGAGCAGAGGTAAACCTAACTACATTGCATAGAACTTACTCTCATGTTAATATGAAAGGATTATAGCCCAATCATAATTTCACCTAGAAGCAATTTTTGATATCCCGGGTTACCAGAGGGGTGGAGTAGGATTTCAGTTTATATCTGAATTGTAGGCATTCACTCCAGGCCTCCTTCAAGTTCTGATAAAACTGGTATCTGTGCTTAGTGACATGATCCACAGTGACATTCCAAACAGAAGCAAAAAGCAGGGAGGAAAACTCTTGATATCCATTATTCACCAGCATATAGCTATGATGATTCCATTCTCAAACTATTATAATTTTGCACATACTTCTGGAGTGGATGTGAAAAAGCCCAGAAGGGTTGTGAGTTTACTATAACATACAGACCTACAGCATTTTCAAACCATTACACTGATATTGTTATTTTTCCTGGTACAGTACCTGGATTAAGACTGCAGCTACATTTATTCCAGTCATTTATTTTATGTGAGTTGATTCTAAAGAAAAGAAAAAAAGAAACAGTTGGTGTTATTAGAAAGCTGTAATAATATCAAGCATTCAATTTCTTTCCAATATTTGTGTTATTCCAAATAAGCATTTCTTCTGGCAATAAATATATTCAAGCTGCCTCTTGTCTGCACAACTTCTAGCAGTTGTTTCCCATGTTCCAGTACCTACAGATTTCCTCCCTTATGACTCCATTAATATATTACTATATTGCTGGACCAATATTTATTTAACTGTATTAAAGAAAGGAAAACAGCAGTGGAAAGGCACTTACAACTTCTTGGGGATGCCTGGGCTCAGTATGGTTGGAAACAATGGGTTAGACTGCCTACAATCCTACATTAGCACCATTTGGATGACATTCTGAGTAGACATTGCTGAAAACACTGCCCTGTTAGTCATGCATACAACAGACCCACATAAATCAATGGAACATGCTAACCAGCTTCGGTGCCACGGCCTTCAAGGCAAGGCGGGTTCGGGTTTCATTCCCTAGTAGAGTCCCGCAGCTCAGCCAGCCCCAGCCCCCGCCCCGCGGCCCTGCCCGTCCCTGCCCTTCTTTCGTGGAGGGCACAGGGGCGGCCGCGCGATCGCCTGCCTCTTTCCAGCATCTTTGATCCAGGCTGCGGCAGTTGGGGTGCCCGCGGGAAGAAGGGAGCTCGGCGGAGAGAAGCGGCGTTTCTTCCTCCGCTCTCGAGTTCTCTTTCCTCTTCTTTCGGTTCCTCTCTCGTTCTTTTTAAAAAAAAAAACAAAAATGTCTTCCCCACCCCACCCGCTGCCTCCTGCCAGCGCGAAAGCGGTGAAGGCAGGGTCCCGAGGAATACGGCGCCAGCTCTGAGACAGAGCAGCAGACGCTTCCAACTCGCTCTTGAAAAGGTGCACAGGAGGCCAAAGGTTTTGGAACAAGAGTAAAATAGACAAACAAATCCCACAAGCCCTCTGTCTCTTTCGTTGTTGTTACCTGTTTTCAACTCGGAAGTGATTTACGGCGACCCTCATAAGGCTAGCAAGATAAATCAGATATTTAAGGAGCGGTTTTACCAGTTCCACACCCCCAGTGAGTTTCCGTAGCTGAGCAGGGATTTGAACCCAGGTCTTCTGAGTTCTAGTCACTTACTCTGTACCTACACCACACTGGGCATCCCTTTGTTTCTCGTTGTTATTGTTGTTTAGTCGTTAAGTTGTGTCAACTCTTCATGACCCCATGGACCAGAGCACGCCAGGCCCTCCTGTCTTCCACTGCCTCCCCGAGTTTGGTCAAATTCATGTTGGTAGCTTCAATGACACTGTTCAACCATCTCGTCCTCTGTCCTCCCTTCTCCTCTTGCCTTCACACTTTCCCAGCATCCGGGTCTTTTCCAAGGAGTATTCTCTTCTCATGAGATGGCCAAAGTATTGGAAGCTTCAGGATCTGTCCTTCCACTGAGCACTCAGGGTTGATTTCCTTCAGAATGGATAGGTTTGTTCTCCTTGCAGTCCAGGGGACTCTCAAGAGTCTCCTCCAGCACCACAGTTCAAAAGCATCAATTCTTTTGTGGTCAGCCTTCTTTATGCTCCAGCTCTCACTTTCATACATCGCAACTGGAAAAACCATAGCTTTGACTATGCGGACCTTTGTCGGCAAGGTGATGTCTCTGCTTTTTAAGATGCTGTCGAAGTTTGTCATCGCTTTCCTCCCAAGAAGCAGGCGTCTTTTAATTTCATGGCTGCTGTCACCATCTGCAGTGATCATGGAGCGCAGGAAAGTAAAATCTGTCACTGCCACCATATCTGCCCCTTCTATTTGCCAGGAGGTGATGGGATCACTGGCCATGATCTTTGTTTTTTTGATGTTGAGCTTCAGACCATTTTTTGCACTCTCCTCTTTCACCCTCATTAAGAGGCTCTTTAATTTCTCCTCACTTTCTGCCATCAGCGTAGTATCATCTGCATATCTGAGGTTGTTGATATTTCTTCTGGCAGTCTTAATTCCGGTTTGGGATTCCTCCAGTCCAACCTTTCGCATGATGTATTCTGCATATAAGTTAAATACAGCTTTGTCGTACAGTACTCCTTCCCAATTTGAACCAATCAGTTGTTCCATATCCAGTTCTAACTGTTGCTTCCTGTCCCACATATAGATTTCTCAGGAGATGGATAAGTTGGTCAGGCACTCCCACTTCTTTACGACTTTGCCATAGTTTGCAGTGGCCCACACAGTCAAAGACTTCTACCAAGGCTTCTGCGTAGTCAATGAAGCAGAACTGGTGTTTTTCTGGAACTCTGGTTTTCTCCATAATCCAGTGCATGTTAGCAATTTGGTCTCTTAAATGTCAGCAAATACAGGAATAAAACGAACTGACCAACAGTTACTGGCACTTTATTGACTTCACTAATCTATTGCTTGCGGTGGGTGCCTTATAATGGCTTAAATCAAGGCTTCTGCGTAGTCAATGAAGCAGAACTGGTGTTTTTCTGGAACTCTGGTTTTCTCCATAATCCAGTGCATGTTAGCAATTTGGTCTCTTAAATGTCAGCAAATACAGGAATAAAACGAACTGACCAACAGTTACTGGCACTTTATTGACTTCACTAATCTATTGCTTGCGGTGGGTGCCTTATAATGGCTTAAATCCTGTTGCTCAGCCTATTAAGACTACTACTGTATACTGTTATCTTTCCAGAATACATAGTCCTTTGCACTAATGGAGCAGCAAGTAATACTAGAATAGGCCCATTAAATCAGTGGGGATCTGGTGAAGCAACTCCTAGTTCCACTGATTCAAATGGGCCTGTTCCAGTGTGATTAATAGGCCAACTCCTCTGTTAGTTCCACTGATTCAAATGGCCTGTTCCAGTGTGATTAATAGGCTAAGCAACAGGATTTCGGCTTCAACCTACTAACCAGTCCTCGAGGGTTGCAGAACGGCTGGAAGGCAATGCAGCCCCGGTCTTGTTCAACCTCACAAGGGGAATATCCTTCTCCAACCTCAACAGCAAAGTCTGGCCGCTGGCTTCCTCCCTCGCGTGGTTCTGATCCGACTGCCTTTCCATGAAGTAGATCATTTCGCTATCACGATAATCGCGATCATAAAGAACGAGGTTGGAATGGGGAGAGGAGACAAAGCCCTTTGGATGAGATGGGAAGGGGGAGAGGTAGAGACCTGGTTCTACTCGATTACTTCGAATGAGGAGATAGGTGCCCTCCTGCCGGCTCCCTCTGGGTTCTTCAGGGATGGGACATTGCGGCTTTGTGACAAATTTTCTAGCGGCAACTCTGAAGGGGAGTCGGGGCGGGGGTACTGCTGGCAGAGCCTGGGTAAGTTACTTTCTTTGACTACGATTCCCAGAAACTCCTCAGCCAGTTTAGTGGGGAAATCCTGAGAGTTATAGTCCAGAAAATAACTTGTTCAAAGCTCCGGCTGCTGGTGACACAGCCTGTCTTGAAAGAGAAGTTACAGCTCGTGCAGATTTCCCCCCAGGAGTCTGAGGCTATCCGGGCCCGGGCGCGAAAGGCGCGCCTCTGGAAGGTGGGCGGAGGGCCAGGAGTCGCCTGGGGAAGGCACGGAGGCAGGACAGCCAGCGTGGAAGCGAAGAAGGAGCACGGCAGCCAGACGCCAAACGATGGGTTCTGACTTTTTGCTTTCGGGAGCCTGGTCGATTGCATTTGTGTCCTTACAATTTTCCCCCCGTGTGAAAGGAAGCTGCATATTATAACAATATTAATTCTGCTGCTTTGCAGCTGCTCTTTGTTGGTAATTTAGCTTTCTCTCTCGGAAATGTCATGCATGCTCCAACATATGTTTCTGTAGCCCCCTTCAGTCAAATCATTAGTACACTACAGGTACTAATAGTAATAATTTTACGTCATCAAGTAGATTCCGATTTAGAGCGACCCTTTTGAGAGTTTTCTAGTACTCATAGATGTTTTTTCTTTCCCTGGGACTTGTAGCTCACGACTTCACCGGGCTGGCTGTTCTCCCAGGAGGCACCGTGGAGAACTGAACCCCAACCTGTGGTTTTGCAACTAGATACTTTAACCACTGATCTATCCAGCCAGCTATTACTACTACTAGTTAAGGTAGATAGTACTCAAAGAGTTCATGATTCAGAGCCTGCTCAAAAGCTGCGTAGGGAGATGAACTTTGTGGTGTGTTTTACCTGAAGTTTGCTCTTTAAAAAAAAAGCAAATATGTATGACTTCAAAACAAAAAACAAACTTTGATTTACAAATACATACTGTGTGGGAAGACTTACTTTTTCTGCCTTTTTCTTCTGTCAAGCGAGAATGACCATATTAGGGAGCTTCTCCCTTTAAATTTAGAGCCTGAGGAACTGAATATCAATACTATTTAAAGACACATGTAACAGCTTCTAAACCCTTTAAATTTAGAGCCTGAGGAACTGAATATCAATACTATTTAAAGACACATGCAACAACTTCTAAAAACAACTTTTATAACAACTTTTTAAAAAAATGATTTTAATTTTTAGGAAACATCTCTGGATGCTTTATACATACTGCCTATAATGGGGAAGTGAATTACTAAAAATACGGGCACGATCCTGCCACAGAGAACCATCTGTATGTACTTCTGAAATCAATTGGATTTTAAGGCACTCAATGTTGATTTAGTGGCGCCCTATATATTTTTCTTATGTAAGGTAACCAAATAGTGTCGAATGTTGTAGGCGATCAGAAAAATCTTTCTGCAGCGTGAAGGTTTTTTTAAAGCCTTAAAGTTTTTAAACTACTGTACTTTCTTCCTTGTCTAGAAATACACATGTGAAATCTATTCATCGGTGCAATTGTGTTAGATGGACCTCAAAGGAAAGGGAACACCTACTGCATACATCCTTTACCACTTTTGTACTGGTATCATAGCCGTGCAGATTTTACCTGCTTTTATGGGACTGATCAGGCACGCATAGTAATATACATATTTAATAACTGCTATAGTTGAATAATGCAGCAGTCAATAGGTACACGTTGTATTTTTTTTAACTAAAA